AAGAGGAGTTTATCATTAAGGAAGTATATTACACAAACTACTCGATTCTGCTAGCGAAAGCAGACGTGTTTGATGAAGAAAACAAATGTCCAGTACCAAGACATAATTTTAGCACAAGGGGTACTCCATTTTCTTTGGGGCCTAACACTGCAGATCTCTTTTTCTTCTATGACTGCACTCTCCCTTATGAAAGGGAGACATATGATGTCAATTGTGCCCGTAATGCCACTCACCATTCTTTCGCGGTTTTTCATACTGAGCTTCTGGAGCACTATAACTATTCAGTCGAATCGTGTCAGGATCCTGTTTATGCCCTTGTTGAGACTGATTCCATAGATAGATTGCTAAAAATGAATTACACACAAGTATTACAAAAGGGATTCTTTCTACAGTGGAATGGGAGTAATTGTAGAGATTGCCAGAATAGTGGAGGGCGTTGTGGTGCTCAAAGTAATGAATTTCTGTGCATTTGCAAAGACCAAACCCAACCGAAAACATGCTTACATGGTAAATCTAGAAACTATATCCATTTATTGATCATGTTAAGGGAATAGCGTTTCCGATTGAGGTGATAGCAGCTGATTAGTTATGCTTTACTGTGATACATTACAATTGTTCGGTATCAGTTGATCACCTGTAATGTTTTCATTTCAGGAAGAAACAAAATCGGATTAAAGATTGGCATAGGTGATTGTCCTTTGAATATGTTCACCTTGATTTGTCTTATTATCCTCTTTTTCTCAAGAATACTGAAATTCCAATACACATTTCTTCTTGCAGGCTTTGGTACAGCTGCATTTACCGCTTTGATGGCAGGTGTAATTTTCTTTGTCTATTGTCGTAGACAGAACAAAAAAAGTTATGCTGGTTCGTCGTTGATCACCAGAAGTATTCTTTCCTATCCTTCCTCCATGAAGGATCCTGAAAAGGCTAATATAGCTATGGGAGTTCACCTTTTTGACTACAATGAACTGGAAGAAGCCACTAGCAATTTTGATTCCAAGAAAGAGCTTGGAGATGGTGGATATGGCACAGTATATAAAGGTAAGTAAACTGATCTAAAATTGAAATTCTTATTGATAATGTGTCAATCAACTCACACACCTGATTGATTCATTAAACATTTGGTTGAATATGATATGCTTATAGGTAAACTTCGAGATGGACGTGTCGTTGCTGTTAAACGTTTGTATGAAAACAACTGCAAGAGAGTAGAGCAATTCATGAATGAAATCGATATCCTAACACGGTTGCATCATCCAAACCTTGTCACTCTTTATGGATGCACATCTCGCCATTCCCGTGAGCTTCTACTTGTTTATGAATACATTCCAAATGGCACAGTTGCTGATCATCTACACGGTGGAGATTCACGGCGTGGATCACCTTCATGGAATACACGAATGAAAATTGCCATAGAAACAGCAAATGCACTTGCCTATCTCCATGCTTCAGATGTCATCCACCGAGATGTAAAAACTAATAATATCCTTCTGGACAACAATTTCTGTGTTAAAGTAGCAGATTTTGGCTTGTCTCGGCTTTTCCCAACTCATCTTACTCATGTCTCAACAGCTCCACAGGGTACTCCTGGATATGTTGATCCTGAGTACCACGAGTGCTATCAGCTCACTGACAAAAGTGATGTTTATAGTTTCGGAGTAGTATTGATTGAGCTTATATCATCACTGCCTGCTGTTGATATCTGTAGGCACCGACATGAAATTAATTTGTCAAATATGGCCATCAACAAGATTCAGAGCAATGCATTACATGAGTTGGTGGATTCAAATATCGGGTTTGACACTGATGATAAAATAAGGTCAATGATAACTGCAATGGCAGAGTTAGCATTCCAATGTCTACAGAATGATGGGGATATGAGGCCATCTATGCAGGAAGTTGTGGAGGCTTTGCTGAGAATTCAGAGAATGAATAAAACTGGGAAAACAGACAACGGTCATCCTGAAGACGATGATGCAGGCTTGTCGAAGAATAACACATCATTAGTTTCACCTTCTTCGGTTACTGCAAAATGGAGTAGCAGTTCAACAACACCCAATGGTAGTACCTAGCATTTGGTTCTCTAAAGTGGTGCACTCGAACGCCTTCCATGTTGGTTTCCAAAACCTGAATTACATACACTTTGATTACCTTGGTTTTCTCTGTTAAAGAGGATGTACATATGTCAGTGCAGCACGTTTAACGATTCGATTTGAACTTCTAAAGTTTTCTTTTATCTTTTTGATCTTTGATCTGCTGATTTATTTTTGTAGCAGTAGATGTTTGATATTGTGCGTAGCAATGGAAGAATAGGATTAGTTTCAAGAGTACATTATCCGTATAGTGTAGTATGACAACTGACTGATTTCGAATGTAACATAGAAGTTCAGTGCTCTTAAGCAAGACAGAGAGTTTTCTTTTTAGAATCCAGATTCTACATGCTCAATCCTTTATACTGATTTATTTTTAATTTTCTTTAACCAAGAGTTGCTTTCCAGCACAATGCTCTTTCATCAAGAGCTATGTTGCTCGGACTCTTCAATAATATTGATGAGTGCGTTTTGGATCCTAAGTGTATTTTTGAAGGATCTGATACGTGTGCATCAACATTTTTGAAGAGTCCGCACAACATAGCTCAAGAGTACATCTGAATGCTATCTTCCTTTTTTTTTCCATGTGATGAGGTGAGAAGTCTGAGACTACTGTTGATCTGATACACTGAAGAAGTAGAGCAGCTCATTCAACTCATTCTCTATACAACCTTGTTTTGTGCTTTTGTGGCACACAAGAATTGAGAGCCTGTTCTAAATATTCAAATGAAACCCTCCAAATTATATATATTACTATATAAGAAGAGTGAATAAATTCACTCCTCTTTCGACACGTGGCACCAAAAAAAAGGAGAGGGTTGAACATAAGTGTGAATGTGAGGGTATTTTGGGTATTTAAAAATACCCTCACATTCACACTTATCTACTAAAAAAAAATTACTATATAATATATATAATGTATAATATAAGTACTAGATAAGTGTGAAAGTCAGGGTATTTTGGGTATTTAAAAATACCCTCACATTCACACTTATCTACTAAAAAAAAATATATAAGTAGTAGATTTAAATATATTTAAAAATAATATAAGTAATACTATACTTAGTATGCTTAAAAATAGTAAAAACTACATAAAAAGTACTACATATCATATTACAATAATTAACAATTATTTGACACTTTCAATTCTATCAATGGCATATAAATTAGGATAAAAAAGGTAACATTTATATTCAAAAATAATATAAGTAATACTATACATTACAATAATTAATAGCTTAAATATTTAAAAGTTATATAGAAAATTTAATTGACTCTCTAAATTCTATTGCTACCACATAAAATGGATTATATGATAAACATATATTGTTTGAAATTGACGAAAAAGAAACTATAAATTACAATAATTAACAAAAAAAATTGTCGGCTCCAAAAAATCTATCAATTAAGAACATATATTGTTTCAAATTGACGAAAAAGAAACTATAAATTACAATAATTAACAAAAAAATTCTCTCGACTCCAACAAATCTATCAATTAATGCCACATAAATTGGGACATGGAAAATAACATATATTCATTAAAAATTATGTTCAAAATGTACTATAAAATACAATAATTAACAACTTAATATAGTAAAGAGACATATAAAAAATGGTTAATATTTGAAATTTTGCATGTGCCACATAAATTAGAACAAAGAGAGTAATAAATATTATTTTCAAAATTCTATAAAAAAAAGGTACTACAAATCACAATAGCTAACAATTTAAAATATTTTTAGAATCATATAAAAATTTCAATAACTTCTCAAATTTCATAATATATGACATAAGAAGAGGGAATAACCAATATATTTATAAAAAGAAATGACATATAAAATGAAATGGACAGAGTATTAGTTTTTGAAAATGGAAAAGGACAAAACACATATAAAATTAAAAGACATATAAAAAAAAGTTGGTTTAACTCTCAAACATAAAAAGTAACATATGTTATTAAAAACTTTAATAAAAAGTACTATAATTTACAATAAATAATAACTTAAAATATGTACAAGACAACAAAAAAAAGACTAATTTTTGTACTGCTTGTGTCACATAAATTAGGATTGGGATGATTTTAAAATTCTAATTTTGGTTATACATTATAAAATTGCCGAAAAATTGAATGATATAATTTTTTTAAAAATAACCGAATGAATCGTCCTATCGATAACCCTAATGTTACTTCTACTCTGTTTATTTTTACTTAAATTTAGAAAGATATGTTTCATTTCTACCCTCAATCTTATCGGTACATTTATTTGCTATTTGAAATTGAAATTAAAAAGACAAATGACAAATAAGTTTTTATATTAGCTCACTTATGAGCAAAATATATTATAACAATCTTTACTAATTTTATAACAATACATAAACTATACTCTCTCCGTCCCATATTAGATGGGCACTTCCAACTTTACACGGTGATTAAGAAATCATTAATACATTGGAAGACTTCACCATTTTACCCTTTGTTTATATCAATGCACATTGAAATGAGTTACAAAAAATACACATGCAATATAGGAATGGTCATATTAATTGTAGGGTAAAATGGAAAAGAATTAATTAATTCTATCCTAATTTAATAAGTGCTCAAATAATATGAAATTTTTTTTTTTAGTAAGATTCTCATCTAATATGGGACGGAGAGAGTAACAATATAACTTTATTAATGTTGGGCCCGGGCAGTGCCCGGGCTTTCTTTACTAGTAATAAGATAAGTGTCTATTCTTGATGGAGAAGCAGTTCCAATTCTGAAGAGATTTAAAGACAAGTCTTCATAAATCATATACATTTCCTTAGGTTCAACTAAGTACAATACACTGAAATACTATCCTTCACGGTGGATTATTCCAATCAAACTCAAAAATTAAAGACACAAATTCAAGTTTATTACTTCTAGAAAGTTCTGTCTTTGGCAGCTGTGCCTATGAAAGTTGCTAATTCTTCAGTAGAACAAAGTGATGAACTGGATGGAGAAATTATGGAGGCGTTCAGTGGCATTGCCTGTGTGTTCAAAGAATGTCTTCCTGAACAATAAGGAGTACATAATAAAGGTTTTGGTGGGATTTCTAAGACGAGGGTTCCCTCTAGCATGTCAATAACCTTACTCATTGATGGCCTTTGTGCTGGATCAGTTTGGATGCACCACAGACCAACTAATATCATCTTTCTAGCAGTTTCTTCTTCTTCTATGTCTATAATCCCATGTAGCTTCAGGTCATCATCTAGCTGAACGTGCTGATATGCCCAGTTAGGAAAATATATCTCACTTGTATGGCTCACTTCTTCCTTGACATTCTTTCTTCCTCCGACCATTTCTAGAACCATCATTCCATAACTATAGACATCAGACCTTTGTGACACTCCTCCAAAACTCCTACTGATTACTTCGGGAGCAATATAACCAATCGTCCCTCGTGCTCCTAACATGGAAACAATGCGTTCTTTCCTGGTGCATAGTTTTGCCAAACCAAAATCTGATATCTTAGGACAGAATTCTTCATCAAGGAGTATGTTATGAGGCTTTATGTCAAAATGCAAAATTCTTGCATTGCATCCACGGTGAAGATACTCCAATCCTTTAGCAATTCCAACTGCAATTTGATACAATTTGTTCAGTCCCAAGAGAGAACCATCACCGTATATGTATTTCTCTAAGGATCCATTTGTCATGAAGTCATAAATTAGAGCTCTTTTGCTCCCATCAAGACAATATCCTAAAAGAGACACGACATTGACATGCGAAGTCTGGCTGATGCTTGCAACTTCATTGATAAATTCTTCTCCATCACCCTTAGATGCTTTTAAAATCTTCACTACAACTGCACGGCCGTCAGAAAGTTCACCTTTGTAAACCTCTCCAAAACCTCCTTCACCAAGCTTATCTTTGAATCTATTCGTCATTTTCTTTATTTCCCAATAGCTATATCTCCTTGGTGCCAGAGATCCATATTGCTTTAGTAATGCCTCTAGACTCTGATCTTCTGTTTTTCCGTTAATGAATCCTATGCACTTGTTGAATGATTTTCTATACTATGTATACCAGATTCCAAAGCAGATTAATATGCCAATTCCAGCAACTGACAATCCTATTACCAGGGGAAGAAATTGAATCTCATGTAGGCTGCAAATTTTTAAAAATGAACATGAAGAGTAGGAGAAAGAGAATCCTACCTGTTGTCAACTTGAGTGAATGAATCTTTCTTGCAAAATCAGTGTTTGGCTTAGCATTATCTGGACAGGTAGAAGGATGAGTTGTGTCTCCACAACGACACCAAAACTCAAGACCAAGTTCACATATTCCTCCTGAATCCTGACATGCCAAACAGCCACCTAAGGCATCACTGTAATCCACTTCAAACCCCTCATTCACAGCTTCTTGCAGCGTTATAGTTGCGTCCCACAGTTTATTTTAATCAGTAGAAACAAGAGGAACCAGTATGCTGAAGGAACATTTGTTACAATTTCATCGGTAAAGAACACACCAGTGTTGATTGTTCCAATCATAAAACAACTAATATTGCTCTGCACCTGTACAGTCGACAGGACCTCAGGACTGCAGCCATAGTGTATGTTTATAAATGTAGTTCCTCGGACATACCTGCACTGACGCATTCAAAATTTATTAATTTGTACTTGGTTTTATTATAAACACATATATCTAACTGTAAGACCCGGAGGCCGCCATTGCGTACTTGAGACCATTGATTAAGGTGGTGTTGTACTTGTTGTAAAGACTGTAGAGTGAAGAAGATTCCGGACAAACATTCTTCCAATGATTATGATGAACAATCTTCATACGGAATGAGGATTGGTTAATCATCAGTACATGAAATTCTGAAGGTTTATACCCAATGTTATTTCTAATGAAATAAGGAACAGACAAAGTGGTCTGATTATCTTCGCACTGTAGATATAAATTGTCGTTACCACATAATCTTGATCGTGAACCACCTCCCCAGAATGGGTAGTTAACACCATGTATGTTTCCACAATTGTAAGCACCTTCACAGTTAACACTCTTGCCTTCAAACAAATAGCTGTAACATGATGGAATGGTGCAGGGAACTAAGATTAGGAGGAGCAAACTTGTAAGGTCATATATGAACAACATAACCATTGCAACATATGTACTATCTTTTTCAAGGTTACATATCAAAATACACTTTCTCCAAATCCAAATCAATGGAAACAAGTGAATCAAGGAAGAAAGCACTTAAACATCTTTGAGCTCATAATTTTCAACACCTAACTTTGACTTTGACTTGGATTTTCATTACATATATGGATTTTCTTTTTCCCTCTTTTGAAATTGGAAATTGAGATAAAAATTGCATATTAATGAACTATATGAGTAAATTAGGCTGCGTATCGGTTTTGAAGTTTATCGATTTGGCTTATTGGTTATCGATTTGTAGAGATGCTAAACCGTTATAGAACCATTAAAATATTGGTTTATCGGTTTTTGATCGTTATCGGTTTGGTTATCGGTTTAACCGTTAAGATTTAACACAAAAAAAACATTGAAAATCACTTAGAAACAAGGTGACAAACCAAATAAACAATGCACATGAGTTCACAAGTTACATTTTGTTCAAAAGCAAACACTTTTACATTGTGTAATAACCAAGTGTTTGAGACAATCATAAATAAAACTAGGAAACCAAACTCTAAGTCAAGGACTTTATATACAAAATGATATGAATATAATTATTTAATTTACTATCGGGTTATCGGTTAACCCGTTAAGAAAAAACCTCAAACCGTTAAGAACTGATAACCCGATAACAAAAAAAATCAAAACCGTTATCAAAATCGCTAAACCAATAACCCAATACTGATAAACCAATAACTTTTGTTCAGTTCGGATTCGGTTTCAGTTCGATTTTAAACTGCCCTAGAGTAAATGACAGTCCCCAGCTGGAAATATTGGTTGTGTTTGAAGTTTGAACAAAGTCCTATATTGGTATCTGAAAAAGAAAAATAAGTTATTTATGAGGTGTTTGATACTCTTAATGGTGTGAGTTTTTTTGAGGAAAATCGTGCAAGCTTGGATCGAAGTGAGCAATATCACTCTAATATCTTTTTGTTATTGTTTGTATCCCAACAACTGATATTAGAGTCAATGATTTGACGAGATGAGTATGGAGATGATAGAGTAATGGTGTGTGACTCGACTTAGTGATTTTTATCATC